GCTCCTAATGGGATTTGCAATAATGAAAACAACCAATCAGAGCCAAAAAAGACAGATAATTGTTGAGTCTTAAACCCAGGGCATCAACCCTGGTAATGAGACTCAAAAATCAATTACCTTCAAGCTTTCAACCCAAAGAATCTTTATATCTTTCTCGGCTCTGACCGGTGGATGCCTACTGCAGCTTAAAAGAAAATAAAGATTTCAATAAAATAATCCAATATATTTGTACATTTTGGAGGACATTTATCACTCAGTTAGGGCCCAACTTCAGCTAGATAAAACCATTGCACAGACAACAATGTGATGAAATTAAGTTTTTCTTATCAGCTTTTAGAATCAGGATGTTGTCTGTAGCTATCTTTACTTCAGGCTCTGGGTTTGTAGTGGATTTGTTAAAAGTGCAAAGTTTGTATAAGACTAAGGTAGCCTATAATAAGCCGAGCAGAGAAATCAGACAGCCATACAGAGGGTCTATAAATCTGTGAGATAATGCAATACAGGGTGTATGAGTTGAAGGATGTCTTAGGTGTTGCTCAATACTTAAAGTTTTGATCGTACATCTCAGAGCACTCTAGTTCTGCTTCTGTCACTTCCTCTTTCTTCATTAAGGGTGAAAGAGATGTTACAGTCAGCACACAGGAAGTAGCCAGAGGAACCAAACTGACACGCAGCAACACTGCTACTTAATCCATGGCACAGATCAAAGTCTGGTCAGTATGCAAACTCACAACAAGCCACAGCGACATGTTCACATTAGAGTATGTTGGCACAAGTCTATCCTCTCTGAAACGCACAGGAAAACTAACCCCTATCAATGTTAAGTGGTAACCAATGAAACTGTTTCTTCTTCACACTTTCACTGTTTCTGCAGTTTGTCTTCCTCATTCTTTATTTAGGGACAATTATGCAGGTGTGTGTGCCCATTTTTGTTTGCAAAAAAGTTAAATATTAGATATAATGAGGCTAAAGATATACATTTATGTTCATTGGTGGAAATCACCTAAGCACATAGTACTATACTGAAGTACAATTTTTCATTTTGAAAAATTGTATTTCATACTATTACTCCTACGTTTCATTGAGAAAATAATGTCATGACACAAGATTAAACCAGTGATTCTCAACCTTTTTGGGTTGATACCCGCCAAAAAAGCAGTGTCTATTAGGGACCCTTGATACATTTAAGACCTAAAGAGATAAAATTATCCATTACTTCTGCAAAAAAGCAAAATCAGATAAGCAGAACATTATTTTTTCTTCCTTCCTACCCCATTAATAATCTCAAGTTTATCTTGTGACAATTTGCAGGGGATCCGACCACTAGGTTGGAAACCGAGGTCAGGGGTCAAGTGCTTTCACTTTTGATATTTGAAGTGTATTTTGTTCATAATGTTGTATGTTCATATGTTGTTTGTAATTAAAATTCTGAATGCAGGAGTTACTTGTAATGAACATACGACACATATGGTAGTATAAGGCTAATATCAAAATATTCATTACCCCCTTTTTTGCAAATTGCATTCTTTTCAAGGCATTATTTTTAATATGTTTTATTATAATACTCCACACCGTGTTTGTATTCAAATAATCGTTTCCAGTTTTCTATGTGCAATGCTCCAATGTGTATATAAAACGTATATGTATATGTATATAGTGTACATATAATTCTTATACTTATTTTTCTATTATATCTCATCTATTGTGTTGTTTCTTGATCTGTAACAAGCGAATTTCCCCCAAGTGTGGGATCAATAAAGTCTATCTTATCTTTTGCTTTACCTATACTTAGATATGCTATGTGCTAGGCTAATCTATGTTGAAAAGACAAGGACATTTCGAAGAAGGTTAAAAGATAAAAGAGACATACATAGATACATACATATAGTCACATCTGAAAGGTCCAGTGTGTAACATGTAGGACGGACCTATTGTCAGAGATGGAATATCATTTTCATAGGTATGTTTTCATTACTGTATAATCACCTGAAAATAACAATTGTGTCTTTGTTACCTTAGAATTATCTGTTTTTATCTACAGGGGGAGCAGGTCCTCTTCTACGGAGGCTGCCATGTTGAACCGCCATGTTTCTAGGCTCTCAACAGGGGTGGTCACGTTTTTTGCACGTATTGTGGCAACCGTAGTTTCTCCTTCTCGTGCTTAGAAGGGGAGGGTGAAGCAGGGGAGTTGCGACCTGCAACTTCACCGCTAGATGTCACAAAATCTTATACACTGGACCTTTAAGATAGCTAGCAGATTTAACTAACATTAGTTTTTAGGTGTAACTAGCTAGCAAACGATTGACGTAGATTAGCTAGCTAATGTTAACAAAACAGCAGGTAATTAGATCAATCGTAAGCTAGCTAGTTAACTTAACATGTGACTGTATGTCGCTTTTATCTTTTAACCATCTTCATAAAAGATCAATTTGACATTTGAATTTTGAATACACAACATACTTGTAATGATGATGATGATGTAATGTTTTTACATTGTTATACTGGTACTTTAACTGAAGTAAAGGAGCTAAATACTTCTTTGTATTAGAATAGGACGTTTCAAGGAAGCAAGGTGTAAACCATTAATTCTCTATGTGATTCGTTATATGTGTTGAGTTACTGTTTGCATGTGATGAACACTGACTTTTCTCAGATCTGTATCTGTCACAACTTTACTACTTACAGCTTTGCTCCCGGAGTTTCCAGCGGTGGGATCTTTGACATAGTGAGCCGTCTGTGCTCGGTTCTGCAGCTCGTCGTTCCCTGTCCCTTTACTAAGAGGCTCCTGCTCCTTCTTTGAGCCCACGCAGCCCATGGTGCCTTCTGCTGGAGGACGACAGAGGAGAAACAGCAAGACATGAGGGCAGTGCATACCAGCAGGAAAACACCATTGGGATGTTAAATGCAATGTAAAAAACAAATTATGGTTCTCCTTGTCATAGAGTGACTTGATATGTATCTACATTGTTCAGAGAAAAGTGAAAGGCATTGGAGGTTGTGAACATTTAGTATGGAAAAGCATGCAGAATGAGAATATGGGATTTAATGTAAATAAATAGCTGTTATGAAATCGATTCTCAAAGTCACTTTCAAGCTTTTGTCACATTTCTGAATGTCAAGATGCACAACATCCACAGTAAGAGCATAGGTTATGAACTAGTCTCTTGACACTGTCTTCACATGTACACTTAAAGCTAATGTATGTAACTTTTATAAAAATAAGTATTTTCTATTTTCTGAAACTTTCACTATGTCCTGACAGTAGTACATGAGACAGATAATATGTGAAAAAGTCAAGTTCCTCTGGCTAAGCATATAGTTAAAGTTCAAGTAAATACAACAAAAAAAGTTACCTACTGCAGCTTTACTAAATGGTAAATGGACCTGTA